GATGAGAACGACGGTAAGGAGTTCTCACTCATTTTGTTCAGCTTTTCCAAGGAATGCATATGAGGGAGTCATCATCGATCCGAGCACGTGCTGGGGTGCAGGACCTGTGAGCAAGCCCAGCTGAGTGGGTCACTGGGTGACCCAATTATGTAAGAGACCTCAGCAGCTGGGAGAAAGCCACTGAGTGAAAGGGACAGCCAGTCCACTCTTGGGGAAAAACCCCACATGCCACTCGGGATAGTGACAGTTTACATCTAACAGAGCTATGATCCTAAGGACCTTGGCAGAGTTTAGAATAGAGGAATGCTTACCTTTCTGAGCCATCCATGGGCACGGTGCATACCCAGGGCCAAATGTCTCTTGGACTCCCTGTCACCTCAGGTCATCAAAGGAGAAAGGGAAAGGTCACCTCTTTGTAGCCCCTGTTGAGCCATGCACGGACACTCCACCTGGGCAATGGAGACAAGTCACAGACACATGTCAGAAATGTACCCAGGTCCTCAGGTAACAAGATTCATGCCAACCTCTCCTGGGGTCAGCTTTGCATCTGCTTCATGTCCCTCTATTCCTTAGGGGTGACTGCAGGTGTGTGTAACAGCATGAGGGTAGGAGATCGTGCAGAAATGTGCACGTGTGTTTCGGTATAAAGGCCGCTGCACATGAACGAGCACGCCTTCTCCTCAAACCCCTACTTAATTCCCTGCTTCCCAATGGTGAAGACCAATCCTCCAAAACCGGATGTGATCTAGGACCCCTAGAGGCTACTGAAATAGTTTGAAGTGCATCTCTCACAGCCATTCCTTCTGGAAAAAGCACACAGCCCAGACTACATAATCCACCTCCCTGGCCAAGGTTGTAATGTCAACCTATGCATGCTGTCCTGCAAGTTATCACAGCTGAACTGCACGTAATGAAAAATTTACAACCAAGCAAACAACAAAATCACCAAAATAAAGGTTGGCGCCCCTGGGACACTGGATCCCGGGTAGTAGCAGCCTGCCTGAATCTTCAGTTGCCAAACAAGTTCAGGATAAGCAACTGCTTATGCTAACTAGGCCTAAATGTCCGCAATGGGCACCAGGTAAACCAAGAGGAAATGGTGGATCACCCACCATGATAAAGGTTAACACCCGACGGAAATGGGGGCACATTCCCATCTAAGACCCTGGCTTTCCAAGCCAACAAAATTCACGGCCCTGACCTCTGAGAATATGTACAAGCACTCAGTTTCCTTTTGCAAAGTGCCACCATCATTCATGTCGGCATGGAGACTTCAGCAGAAAGAAGCCTTGAAAGCTATGCCCACTTGGATGGTACTGAACATCAGAGCAGACAGCCAGAAGGGATTTCACTTTGCATAAACAGAGCTCCCACAGTTCAAACACAAACAAAAAAGGAAGACTGAGAAAGGAACCAACACACACAGGGAAAGTGGAGGATTTAAGGTAGATATCTGTCCATGGAAGTTCACCTGGGATAGTAGCACTCAAAGTACCTGCCATGTCGAAACCCTTCCAGTAATAAATTTAGACACCTCTAAACAAAATATGAGATGCCAAAACCAGGAGAATAAAACCCTCCTATAGTAACACTTTGACCTTGGATCACTGAGCACAGATGTAAGAGTCAAAGTAAATGTCCACCTAAGAAATCTGAACCAGAGCTGCTTAGTTGGCAGTCTTGGGACAATGAACCTCTTCAACACAGTAGGAAACAACTACAAAGTGCAACTACTCTGGCACGCAGACTCCCAGTGGACAAAGGTCAGCTACCACATGTCATTCACACAGACCCCGAAGCCCTCCCTGGAAGGCACCACCTGGCCATCCCCACCAAGTACTGCAGACGTGGAGGTAAGGCAGTGACCGCTGTTGAAAGAATACAAGGCAGTACGTCCACTGGAAGCTCATGGAATCATGACGATGACCTGGCCCATCCCTCCCCTTCCATTCTTGTCCTGGCAATCAACCAGCACAGCATCTTCATTTAGTTAGTTAGGTCCGTAATACAGTCCATGGTTGGCCACTTTGCATGAACCACAACTGAGGAGTTGAAATAGATGAGGTGCCAAATAAAGAACCACCACCTAGTCACTTCTGTCCCTGCCCCCAACTCTATGTATTCATATTTCCTCAACAAGAAAAAGGACAGGAAAAGGTTTCACTACTTGCCTGGCCTGTGATTCTAATCAGAAACCACGCAAAGGTTCTAATCTTTGGCTACCAGACACAGACCTCAGGAGTTTGTCTGAAATGAAAAACATGGCCCAGACATATCCATGTGTTCACTGGACCCAGGCCATAACAAAAAACTCAGATTGTTACATGCTAATCGACGTAACCATAGGCCTGGCCATTCAGCCAAACACCACTAATGCAATAATACTATTGACAGTGGGACAGGAAGCTCTCCAATGCTGACTTCCTGGGTGTTGCTGGCATGAATGTGACCAAGGGGAGGCTATTCCTCACCCCACCCTCCCTGGGGAATCAACGTGCTGGACCTCAGATCCGATGAGAACGACGGTAGTGAGTTCTCACTCATTTTGTTCAGCTTTTCCAAGGAATGCATATGAGGGAGTCATCATCGATCCGA